GACAGCTTTTCAAAAGAATAAGACAGGTTACTGCTTACATTGTCTACTGCTCACTATATCAACATAGCTGTCTAAATATGCTCCTCAGTACATCTTGCCCTCTCTGCATCACAGTAATCTCTTGTGCTGCTTCCAAAGCTTAAGATCAACAAATGACTAAGTCATAGGAAAAGCATATATTTTACCAAATACAAATAAATATTTCTGATTTTTTGTATTTCTTAAAATCTACAGAAAAATAAAAAAAAAAGTTGGAGCACAGTTCTAGCTTAAAAAAAACTACCTGAATATACAGCTGGTTATTAAGTTTAATCAACATATAATTTTAATTAATTAAATCTTAATTTTTTTTATTTTATCTTCAAAGTCAAAATGTCAAATGTATTGAAGATATATACTGTGAAAAACATATCTACATTACTCTGAGGAATGAAAACTGATACTCAATATCTAAACATAGATAAACTTTTCAGTCTAACTAGCTTAAAGAAAATCATGTACTGTTAAATATGCAGCCGGTGACTAATTAAAGGCTGTAGTGAGTAAAGCATTCAGGTTTTGATCAGCCTCAATCTAGGTCCACCCCTTATTCCTTTGCCCTTTTAATGCAGACCAGTCCCTCTTTTTTTTTAGTTAAAATCTTATGAATGAATTTCCATAATGGAAAATAATCATTTCTGTGTCATAAAACAATTTTATCATAGTTACCTTGCTTAGTAAATATAGTTTTAAAGTTGTCAGGAATCTACCACATGAACATTTAAAAATACCCCATAAAATATATTTCCTAAGAGAATTCAGCTGATATTCTCCATATTTTTAATGTTAGAATCCTAGAAAAACTATCTGAAAATTAGGAATAATGAAGTAGTGTAGTATGTAGACTCATGAAAAGTAATAAACTCACCTGAGTTAAAACCCACAGTATATGTAAAATTTATATTATAAACATACTGCTACTGTAAAACTCTTCCTTATAGTTTAGAATCACACAGTTTAGTTGATTATTATGTTTCAGGCTTCTTTTTTCAAGGAATACAATAGTCACTGGATAACAGACTTTTAGGCAGCTCTCACTCTTTTGAATACACAAAAGATGCATTTCTCGCTTCCTAACCCCAGAAAGACACCAAATATGAAACAATTAGAGATCCAAAAGCCCATTCAGAGAGTATTTAAGCATATTTTCTAATCTAATCTTCAACAGTAAGTGAATTATGCTTATTTTCTCCCCAGTAAACTTAATTTCTTGATTAATTTTGTTATCAGCTGTTCTTATTCCCCAGTCACTGCTATATATTAAGTGACTTTTCTTGGTATATCTACTTTTCTACACACACATATGTCACAATATTTATCACATAATATTATATTGTCTACTTAGTTGTTTATGTCTTCCACTAAGTTCAACTTCATCAAGGACAGGGGCCATGTCTATTCTACTTTGGCCCATGGGAGAAGACCTATACACATTTGCTGGGCTGTTTATAAAATTGCTTTGTCCTGAAATTAACAGCTGAAGGAGACAGCCACAGACAGTGGATTCCTGGAAGTCTCAAACAGACTGCCTAAGGTCGGACAGGGTCAACATCTGACATCATCAGAGGCAGATACAGAAAGTAAAAACAGCAGTCTCCCCATAGAAGTTCATACCACAAAGTTAGGAAATCAAGACAGATCAACTTAAGAAGTAGAAGCAAAAGAGAAGAGTCTCACAAATAATTGGAAGACAAAGAAATATGCCCCACTTGAAGGGAAAGGAGGAATCCCCAGAAAGAGAACTAAATGAAAAAGAGGCAAGTAAACTATCAGCTATAGAGTTCCAAACAATGGTTCTAACGAAGCTCAATGAGCTCAGTGAGCTCAGACAGAATTATCAAAAACTACAGGGAAACTACGAGGAACTTACTGCAAATTATATCAGCATGAAAACGGACATAGAAACTACCAATAAGAGACAAGAGGAAATGAAGAATACAATTTCTGAATTGAAGAACACAGTAGAAGGAATCAAAAGCAGGCTAGGTGAAGCAGAAGATTGAATCAGTAAGCTGGAGGACAAGGTAGAAAAAAGCTCCCAGAAAGAACAAGAAAATGAAAAAAGACTCAAAAAGAATACAGAGGCGTTTAGGGAAATACAGGACAACCTGAAACATAAGAATATCTGTATAAGAGGGATACCGAAGGAGAAGAGGAGCAGGAAGAGATAGTGAACCTGTTTGAAAAAGTATTGATGGAAAACTTCCCTAATTGGAGGAGAGAAAAAGTCACACAAGTTCAGGAAGCACAGAGGGTCCCATTCAAGAGGAACCCAATGAGGCCCACTCCAAGACACATCATCATTAAAATGGCAAATATCAAAGACAAACAGAAAATCCTAAAGGAAGCAAGAGAGAAATAGGTAGTAACATATAAGGGAGCCCTGATATGGCTAGCATCACACTTCTCAACAGAAACACTTCAAGCCAGAAAGGAATGGCAAGAAATATTCCAAGAAATGAAAAACAAAGGCCTGCAACCAAGACTGCTCTACCCAGCAAGACTCTCAGTTAAAATGGCTTCCCAGACAAAAGAAGGCTACAAGAATACACCTCCACCAAACCAGCACTGCAAAATATGCTAAAGAGACTGCTATAAGATGAAGAAAAAGTTTCTATGAATACCCAGTTTCTTTCAGAGTTGCCAATACTTGATATTACCAATATTTTTAACACTCATTAATCTGATTGTGACAGTGATGTTATTTTAATTGTTCCTTTACTATTTGTTGAAACTAAACCTGTTTTAGTATATTTCTTGCCTATTTCTATTATTTTTTTAAAAAGCTTTAAATGTCTTTTTGGTACTCTTTATCCATTTATTGATTAAAGGTTTGTAGAACTTTTTTCCCCTAAAAAAAACCAAACCTATTAATCATGTTTTAGATGTGTTGCAAATACTTTTCTATTCTATTCCTTGTCCTTTCACTTTTTTATATGTATATTTCTATATAGTTAAATGTTTAGTATAGTCATATTGTCAATATTTACATTATAGCTTTGAATATTTTACTTCAGGTCATGAAAAATATTAGTTCTATTTTCTTCTAAAACTCCTTATATTCTACATATTGATTTTTAACTCACCTGAATATTTCTTGTATAAGGTGTGAAATAGGGCTCTATATTTGTTTTATTTCAAGTAATAATGGCCCATGCACCTTATTTGTTGAATAAGCTTTATTTTACCCATTAATTTAAAATATCAACCTAATCATATATTATATTCTTAGACAGATATATACGTTTGTCTCTAGAATGTTCTTTATATTTTGTCACTTCCTTTATATTGTACTTTGTAAACAGAGTATCTTCAGATACAGCATTGACTCATTGATTTAGCGGTAAATCCATAGGAGTTCCAGCCTTTGAGTGTGAGCCAAGGGACTTAAAAGGAGGGAAACACAGTGACTCAGACCAAAGGAGTTATGGTTTAAATCATTTCCTCATTCATTGTACTTGTCTGTCTTCCACCTGCGCAAACAATAGTTATTCTATTAAACTCTAGGATAATATATACAACTATTACAAGTAAATTATAGCCCTGGCAGGTGTGGCTCACTGGTTGGAGCATAGTTGTGCAGCCAAAGGGTTGCAGGTTCAATTCCCGGTTGGGGCACATACTTAGGTTGCAAGTTCATCCCCAGAATCATGATTCTCAGTCTCAGCATGGAGCCCCAGCCTGGGTGTGTATGGAGGCAACAGATGGATGCTTCTCTCTCATCGATGTTTCTCTCTCTCCTTTCCTCTCTCCCTTCTCTCTCTCTCTCTTAAAAAAAAAAAATGAAAATGTCCTCATGTGAAGATTTTTTAAAAAAGTAAATTGTAAGTCAGAAATATTTCTTTCCTTCAGCAAGTCATGCATCAACAAAGAAAATCTCAAAGAGGAAAGTTCTAAAAACATGGGAGAGTTCCTAAATAATTAGTTCTTAAGGTATAGGAATTAACATTTTTTCCATTCAAATTAAACAAATTTATTTCCCAAATATTAATGTGATTTGATATATTTTACCAACCACAAAAAGGTCAAAATTAAACTCTAAAGGTAACATGTTGAACAAAAATTAGCCTCTGGAAGGCAGTGATGAGGGATTAGATGAAAATATGCCACCTTCCTATTTTAGTAGGTGTGGCACATATGTCCTCATAGTCCATCTGACTGCTGAATTGCTCCTGATTTTTTTGTTCAGACAGGTTGACTTTCTGGTAAAGGATTCTTTTGTCTCCCTGGTTTGTTGTGCAAGCTAATGTAAGAGTATGTAACTGTAATTAGCATATGGAACTGGATACTCCCTCCTGGATTTATAGAAACCCAAGAGCATAACAAAATTAACCATTGGCACTTATAGTATTTAATTTATAGAGCAACCAAAGATCCTTTCTTGAAAAGAAACATAAGTAGAAATGGCTAGTGGACTTAAGTTCTCTGAACCTGAAATTTGAAATTTATCAGGATTCATTTGTTCACTCTTTCCTCACATACCTCCCTCATAAATTGAACAAGTTTACAATTTTGCAGGGATGTGGAATTTTGCAATTTTGCAGAATTGTCTGGAGTAAATCTCACCCTGTGATGTTCTCTAGATGCTAGAAACAAGTCGATAATGTTAAAGTCTGCTTTATTACTAAAGCAAAAAAAAAAATATTATCCAAAATTAATGCCATACTTAATTAAATGTCCTGAATAATTAAAAAATCACACAAAGGGAATTAGTTTTAAAAGGATCAAAATTCATAAAAATTATTTAGTATGGGTAACTAGAGAGCCTTTTTAGAACAGAAAAATGAACGCTAAGATTTTGTTACTCTCTATACTAATCTATAAATATAAAAATTATATAGTCAAGGTTGAATAAATGCATAAAATGCATAATAACTTATTCTCAACAGCAAAGTAATTAATATTAAAATAATGTGTTTATAAATGTAAATATTTCCATTTTCTTTTCCCTTGACTTTTAGACATGGAAATACCGACAGCAGAAAATCTTCTCCATAACTGTAAGTTCATCATCAAAGAGTCATTTTCCAGTGAATCTTAATTCCTTGGATCACAAAAAGACCTCCACTTGAGAGTCAATGTGGTATTCATAAATGTGCGATGGGAAGCCTGGTTTTAGAAACTTGTGTGACGGTGACTGTAGTTGGCCTCAAAATAACTGATAACATAGATTTAAAATGAGGACTACATTATCACCTGCCATAATGCAGAGGGGATCTAGGGATACACAGTGATAATGAAGAATTAGATTCTAAAACCAGCTTCACATCAGTTTTGAGCCCCAGATCTGTCATTTCCCACTGGATCAATTTATACAAGTTCTTTAACCTCTCAAACCTTAAGTTCCAAGTTGTTATGGACAAAAAAGAATGTAGCACAAGTAAAGTACTTACAAGAATTCAAATACTCCTCCCTTTTCCACCTGGATACCTGTGTGAAGCCAGTTTTTCTTTAATACTTTTTCCAAAACAACTTATCACAATAGGTTGAAACAAGAAGCAGATATAAGAATTCAGTCATGTTTAATTAAGACAGACTTACAAAACAAAACAATACTACTATTTTTCTCTAAATTATATTGTTTTGAAAATAATTTTTCAAAATAAAAATGTCTAATTTATGCTAAAAAGAAAAAAATATACAGTTTATAATAAGCACTCAATAGATGTCAGCTATTTGATTTTCTATATTGCCTATGAAAACTTCAGATTTAGGAATTCACTATGGAATTCTGATCCTACACACCAAGCTTAGTGAGCTGAAAAGTTAGCTGCCTTGCATGCAAGCAGCTTCCTGGCCCGCCAAGACATCTGCTTCTGTTCTCCCAGCAGCTGCCCTGGGATATGTGATCCCCAGGGTTGCTACAACCTGATGTAGGCTCTCAGAAAACACTGTTTTCTTCCAGGGAGCAAGACTGAATGGGATAGCTTGGATTAGAAGAATCTCCCTCCAGAGCCAGGTGACACTGACCCTGGTGGCTCTTAATTCTCCTTGAGTCACAGCATCATTATTTCTGAGCAACCTGGGCAAAACTTAAACACAAAGCTGTATTAGATTAGTTTTCTCTTTGATATATTTTTGACTAAACAATCCTCAAGCAACTTAATAAGATATCTTAAAGTCACTTATTCCAATTAAAATTTTAGTACTGATGTGATCAAAATCTACAATTAGGAATTTGTCAGGTTGGTGGAGGAGAGGTAGTCAAGAAATGACAAAAAGCAGTGGTAAGAAAAAGATCAGCCAATTTGTCTATTCCCCAGCTGGACCACTTAGCAACCATCCAGGTCAGTATTCTGAATGTGACTTGGCCAGAGATTTTGATTGTACCTTAAATAAAAGGGAAGAAGGGAGACATAGGCAAGCAAAACCAAACAGGGTTAAAGAAAAAATAGAGTTTTGGTACATGACATAAAGTATTTAAGTGCAGCAATAAGTGATGAAGTACAAGTCAGAAGGATAGGGAGCCTGTAAGAACTTGATAAATTCTCTGATGTTCCTAAAAGTATCGGCCAAAGAATCTTCATTATATTCCAAAATCCTTCAAAAGTACCATATGACCTCTTTTGACATAACAAAAGCTCCAAGTAGCTTCGTAAAATTTCAGCAAGGTAATAACAAGGTAATACTGCACAGGTAGCAACTGAAAGCTTAACAGAGAACTCTAATGGCAGTTGATGCATAATTATAAATTAGATTAAAATTCCTGAGTAAGAGCAAAAACAGGGAAGTTAAGAATGGCCCAGGGCAGGTTCTCCTAGCTCACAGAGAATTATCTTTGTTTTTATATCCCTTTGAAGGAAGTTGAGTAAAAGCCAACTTCCTTTAGGAGTGTTCCAAACAGAAGGGAAGATAGGGAGGGACCATTATACCTTTGGGTTCTGGATTGTTTGTTTTATCCTCTGTAGGTGCCATGATTAGGGAGTAGAAGGAAAGAGGAAAGGAAAAGGGAGTTACATTCAATGAGTCAATGTGAGAGCTCTCCCATCAAAAATAGCAATCACAAAGGCTGTTTCAGCTAAGTGATTTTTATGGAGAGGATAACAACTGAGGTTCAGGTTGCATCACAGAGGACAATCTAGAATCAGAAGCAACATACAAACTTGAAGACTTCAGAGGGCTAGTGAAGGTCCTTTAAAAAGTCTTCATGTCCTTCCACTTTGCTTCTAATTTCTTTCAACCCTCAGGAAAGAATATCTCAAGATACATCTTGTCACATAGAATTAAAAACATCTCTGTAAAGCAATTGACCATCTAACCCTTCCAATTAATTAAAACCCCATTCTTGATACAAATTCCTTTCTCTAAGTTTCTCAGCCTTAATACTATTGACATTTTGGGCCAGGTAATTGTTTCAGGGGCAGTCCTATGTATTACAGAATTTTCAGCAGCATCTGCAGCCACTACTCACTGGATACCAATATCACGGTTATTATAACAAAAATGTCTCCAGTTATTGCCAAATTTCTCCTGTGGATGGAGAGTGGTGTGCAAAAGTGACCTTGATTAAGTGCCACTATTTTAATCTATGCTCACTGCATTATGGCAAGTTTTCTGCACTCTCTAAATGTTTAGGAACATAACACATTGCAGAAAAAGGTTTTGCAGTCAAATATATTTATTTCAAGATGTCTCTTGGATTAATAGACTATATAGACTTCATTTCTACAAACATTTGTTGAACTCCTTTTATGCAATAGATTCTCTGGGGTAGCTCCTGGAGATACATTTTTTTTTTAAGATATGGTTCCTGCCTTCTTAAAATATTTATCAATGAACCTGATAATATTTGGTAAAAGATACCATTAATTGTTAAGGTATAAGCTCAGTGCTTTATTTGGAATAACATGAAATAGTCAAAAGAAACAGAATGAGTCATATAATAGTGAAGGCTTACTATTACTGCAGGTTTTCTTTAAAGAATTAAGGGTCAAGCAGTTTCTTTGGATTTATTGACATGAAAACAGTTTTGATTTAGATAAGCTTTCAGAAATGGTTGACTATCTTTGTGTGTTATTCCCTTTACCCAGGTGTTGTGCGTTGTAACTTGAGTATGAATACATTTCAGTCTATTCTGTCTCTCATAAATATCTCATTCATGTTCACATTCATTCACAATTTCTTATGAATGTTTCATAGCAATCATTACTTTAAACAACTGCTCATGCAATTAAAAAGCACACATTTCTGGATGCAACTCTGTAATTGGTTATACAATTATTATCTTCCAAACGTAAACATTTAATTTCACCTACCTCTTACAACAAGCAAGTCCACACAGACAAATAAAGAGCGTTATGTGAGTGATGAGGATGGGGGAGGAAAATGTCAATTTATATTGAATTCTCAGAAAATCTCATGTCAGTAGTAAATTAGTCCCAACTTCTCCCAAACTGTGTGAGCTTTTCCTCAATTAATAGTTAACAGTTAAATGTATTATGGGGAATTTGTTTACTATAGCAGTATATGCATAAGCAATATTAATATCATGATATGCTAATGAACTCTATTTTGAGCAGGTTGTGGACAACGCACAATAACTCCCTCTGGCAACAAGGTAGCAGGGGGCGTGAACGCTGAGGAGGGAGAATGGCCCTGGCAAGCTAGCCTTCAACAGAACAGTGTCCACCGATGCGGAGCCACTCTGATTAGTAACAGCTGGCTTGTCACTGCTGCTCACTGTTTCATAAAGTAAGTTCTGAACCACATAAAGCCTCAAAGCATGCAAGTACTTAAAGTTTGATGCATACAAGAATATGGCACACAGCAATACTTCCAACCATTCAATATTGCAGAGGATAGCATTAAAACTACTCAATGAATTATTAGTTTTAGAAAAAGATATATTCAAGGTAATGCAGATTTGTCAGCAGTGGCATTATTAACATTTAAACCAAATAATTCTTTGCTGTGGGGGGATATCCTGTGCATTAGAATGTAGTTTACACCATTCCTGGCCTCTGCCCACCAAATGCCAATAGCAATCCCCCAGGATTGACAAGCAAAAATGTCTCCAGACGTTACTGAATGTGTCCTGGAGGATAAAATGGCCCTCAGCTGAGAATCACTAAGCCAGATTCACTTAATTAATTTTATAAAGAAACTATAAATCCCAAATTGAACATAGGTCCTGTATTTCTCACTGTTATTGCATTGGGTCTTATCTAATCAAGTACTTGAATTCATCCTGTGTCCTCTCCTTATATATATTATAGATCTATTTGAAATTCAATAATTATTTCTTTAAATATATTATTGCACCAAAAGTTTGTCTTTTTTCCTAAAAGTTTTTTTATTCTTTTGTCTGATGATTTGTTTCAATAATTTCTATTGGTTTTTATATACCATTTATTGGTTTTATATTTTTAAACAAAAATCCCTCTTAAACTTGGAGTCTGAAAATGTTCCAGAACATTAATTTTCAGGACTTAATGTATAAACTCTCAATTAACAAATAATAACAAAAGTGAGAAATATCTTTATATTTATAGTTTTAATAATCATAAAATAGGATTTAGATATTTCCTTAATTTCTATGTTTACTGTGTCCCATATCCTTACCCACTTTTTATTTAATCTTTCTATTGTGTGTTGCCAGTTATCTTTCTTGTCTTTTCTGGGGAAAAAGAGAGGAAAATGTAGTTTTAATGGATTATCTTTTATAATATACCTTAATGAGTTATTCAAAATCTATCCATGCTTTTAGTTTTATTTTTCTTCATACATATAGCTTTACTTTTGTATGCTTATATGCATTATAAGAATTCAAAACTTACCCATTTTTAAAAGCATAAGAAATTAATTCCTACAGATCCAATTTTTAATAAATATGTCTATTTTCTTTAGTGCCAATGACCCCAGAAAATGGAATGTTAGTTTTGGGCTTCTTTTAAGTCATCCACAAACACAACGAGGTATCAAAAATATTATAATTCATGAACACTACCGTTACCCTGCACATGATAATGACATCGCTGTTGTGAATCTGTCTTCACCAGTATTATATACAAGCAACATTCGAAGAGTATGTCTTCCAGAAGCTAATCATACATTCCCACCCAACTCAGATGTGGTGGTCACTGGATGGGGATCATTAAAGTCTGACGGTGAGTTCCCAACCTTCCTCCATTACCTGGTTTGAGTTTTAGGAGTTATAAAACAATACCCAGAATCACAACTAAACCTGACAAATACTTTTTCTGGATGATTTTTTAAAGGATGATGTGCAATATTGAAAATTATCCTCAACAACATTCATTTAAAAACTACAATTTCATAGAACTCTTTACCATAATTTCCCTTAACAATAGCAGTTTTTAGAGAAATGTATTACTTGAATAAGTAATTCATTTTTCCTTATTTCATTAATTTGTTCATTTATTTAAAAAACTTATATTGATTTCCACCTTTGTTCCAAGTACTATTCTAGGTGGTTTAGATAAATAAATAAAATGAGCAAGTATTCCTGCCCTCATAAAGCTTATATTCCTAGCAAAGAAAAGTAGATAGTAATCATGAAATATAATCAGTAAATAGATTATACAGCATGTTTTGTGCCCGTAAGTACTACAGACAAAATAAGGACAACAGAAGGCCAAGCATTTTTGATGGGGTGAAATGAGTAGGCAACACCTGTGACAAGGCAATACCTGAATAAAGATCATTTAAACATGTGCATCCTGATGACCCTAATAATGTAAAAATTTAGTGGCTAGTTATATTCATAAATGCATTTGAAAATAGAAGGAAATAAACCTAAAATTAATTCCAAGATTCAGAATTATGGAAAAAACAGAAAATCTAAAAATGATCATAAAGTGTATATTTCTGCAATATGGATGTTTTATTTTGTTTTCTAAGACATACATTTCATAAACATAAAATTCCAAAACAATTCAAAAGGCAACTATTTCATCGTATATGGATGGGCGCTCTACTTCAAAATATGATCATTTTTAACAATAGTATTCCATGTTCCTAACATTATTTCTTTGTTACTTCAGAGACAAATAAAAGCTACATTAAAATAAAGGTTTTACATTCATTTGGAAATTGTATATAGTGTTAGATACTAATAACCTAGCCAGAGAGATTAATATTGACTTTAGCAATAATTATCTAATCTCTTCTTCTTTAGGATCAATTTCTAATATCCTCCAAAAAGGAGCAATGAAGATTATAGATAATAAGACCTGCAACAAGGAAGAGATATATAGTGGTGTGATAAAACCTAGCATGTTGTGTGCTGGCTTTCTGAACGGGAAGGTGGATGCCTGCCAAGTAAGTCTGCTTATTCCATTTTCAGGAAGATTTTTTTCCTCATAGTTTTTAATTTCCAATTAACCAGTTCCATTTTCTCAAAAGATTGACAATTATTAAAAGCTTAAGTATATTTTACAGCCAAAGTATTTACTTAAAATTATAGTGCTTTGATGGGTCCCCTTAAAGTACTGAAGTGCTAAAACCACCCTTACTATTATGAGAAGCTGTGAGTAGGAGTAGGGAAGGGACTCAGTTTGGAATACAGTAAAGAGATGAAATGGAATATTGATGGCTTTACTTCAGTTCTTCTTTCACTGAGAAACATTCAACTGAGTCCAACACCAAATCATGGAACTTTCTTAATTAATGTGGCTCCAACACCCTACATATTTTATTTATTTAAAAACACTTAGCATGTTCATGTGTCAGCCACTGTCTAAGATCTTTACAAATATTAATTTATTCAAGTTATGATAGTTCTGTGACGTATGGTTGTACTATTATAAACCTTCTCATTTAAAGAGACCGACACAAAGAGAGCAATTTGCATAAACTCACTCAGGCATTAAATGGCACAACTGAAATTTAAACCCAAGAAACAGAGCTCTATAGCCTATACTCTGAATGCTGCACGAAGCTTCCTTTCTTTAGGCTTTATATGCTTCAAACACTCCTGATGCTATTTATAAGCAATTGTCATAGAGCTAACAAAAGAACTAGTGCAGTTATCTAGGCAGGCCAAACCAGTGATAAATTCAGAAGATCCTTATTTTATTAATTCATTCTTTCATGAGTACATGAAAACAACCAGCAGTTGTTTGTTGACTACTATGTGCCAGACCATGTGCTAGGTGCAAGAAAGTTAAAAGTGAATAGAGCATTATTTCTAATCTCCAGGAGCCAGAAGACATGCAAACAAGCACTTGCAATACATAATTATCATCTGTAATTACAGATTTCGAGCTTTCCAACTGTTCCACTAAACCTATTCTTTCAAGTCATGACAAGCGTGAATCCCTATTTCTCTCCATTTCCTTTCAGCCCCATGACCCTCTTCTAACTTTATGCATTCTAGAATGCATGTTTCATTATTTCAACCATTCTCTTGACACCGCCCTGAATGACTTCACCATCTTTTACTTCCCCCACACCCATCCTAATAATCTCCAACCACTGAGCAGTCTCTCTACTTTATTTGCTTTTATATGTGAGCTACTTAGAACAGCCAGAAAAAAATCTTGTAGCCTTGTAAATTCATGTCATATAATCACACTGAGTCTTTAATACACTAGAATTCTTTCATGCATCTTTCATGATGCTATGTCAACCTACCACACCCTTATATTCCTTAACTTATGAGATTTCCTCCTACTAACTAGAAAAAAAGTGAAAGTGATCACATGAGAACTCCTTTAATTTTTTGTTTTACCTGATAGATTTACATTTGTACTTATCTTCACTTTCTAGGCTCATTATAAACAAGTTTCTCCTACTATTCAAAGCAAATCTCTTACCTGTGTTCTTCATCCACTCTCTTTCCATCTACACATATATTTGAACTTCCTATTAATTTGAACTTTCGTCCATATTTTCTAAATTGTCCCACTCAAATGGACTCTTCCACATACTCTGCAAACATTATTAGATCTCTCTCTAGATTTATCCTACTCTTTCTTTTTCCCTTCTTTGTCAAATCTCTAAAGAACAGTTTACTATTATGCTTCCATATTCTCAATCTACTCATTCTCTGACCCGCTGCTTGCAGACTTTCGCCCTTCCAGTCCACTGAAAGTACCCTAGCCAAGATTACTGACTGTCTACTTGCCAAATCCAATATATGCAGCATGGAAGACAGACTGAAACCAAGTGAGCTAGAGATAGTGTGGTCTATCAAAATAGTTTGTCAGAGAAAAGTAATGAGGGCTTCAACTAAGACACAGCAGGATAAAGAGATGATGAGACAGTAACAGCTGAGTAACAAGATGATGGGATGAATTAGATGTGAGGAAGAAGGAAAAAGGGAAATTCAATGTTAACTCTCACATTTCTCCCCGAACAATTGGAGAGAAGGTGTACAGGAGAAAGAAGTTTGAAGAGAGTGAAAGTTCAGTTTAGGGTGTGCTAAATTTGAGGTGTCTGAGGATTATCCAGGCAGATATGTCTACTATATCATTGTAAATAAAAACCTTGAGGTCAGGAAAGAGTTCTGGCTGGAGATATATATATGAAAAAGCCTTTGCCCTCTGGGTAGTATCTAAATTCATAAGCATAAATACAATTGCTTAGGTAAAGTGTGTAAAATAAGAAGTACCTAAGTAACAAAACTTGGTTATACATACTTTTAATGTGCTAACAGTAAAGGATAAAAAATTCAGAAAAACAAGAAGAAACTGGCTTCACAGAAGTGCAGGAATCAGAAAAAGGGGAATAATTTACAGTGACACACGCCGTAGGAAAGTCAAGTAAGACAAGCCCTGGGAGAACCATCAAATTCAAAAATTGTTTATCAGTAAAGTTGGAGAAGACGCATTTGGTGGAAAGGAAAGATGTTTAGAAGGGTGTTAATGTGGATGAGAATATGAAAATTTTGATATAAACTATCACCTTAAATCACTTTGCTATGAAAGGAAGATACTTAAGGCAATAGAGGAGGTGTTAAGATCCAAAAGGGTTGTCATTTTTCAGATGAACAAGACAAAAATAGTTATTATTTTTTTTTAAAAAAAAAAGCATGTATATGCTTGGAGAGGATAGAAAGTGGAGGAAATGAAGGCATATAAAACAAGTTTCTTGATCCACAGGATAAAGGGATTAATCTTGGAAAGAACTAAATGCATCTATTGCTCTAAAGAGGACAGTAGATACACATGTGGGCTGAGAATTCAAAAGGGGCAAACCAAGAAATGGAAAGATTCCTACCTGTCATTCTCCACTTACTGTATGAATTTGAAACTAAGACATTAGGTTCAGAGTCAGGGAATCAGACTCTGGGAATCAGGGAATTTTTAAAAATTGTGAAATGAGTCTTGTGCCCTGCTGGTAGGAATGTAAAATGGCAGAGCCTCCATGAAAGACAGCATGGTGGTTCCTCAAAATAAATTAAAAATAGACTATCATATGATTCAAAAATTCCATTTCTCAGTATATGACCAAAATAATTGAATGCAGAAACACAAATAGGTAATTGCACATCCATGTTCACAACAACATTATTCACAACAGCTAGAAGATGGAAGCAACTCAAATGTCCATTGATGGATAAATGCATGAACAAAACATTGTATGTATATGTATATAAACATATACATATATGTATTTATACTATGGTATATATTCATATAATGGAATGTTACTTAACCTTAAAAAGGAAGGAAATTCTGACATGTATTTTTAACACAAATGAAACTTGAAGAACTTATGCTAAGTGAAATAAACCAGTCACAAAAGAACAGATACTGTGTGACTCCACTCATGAGAGGTAGTTGGACTAGTCAAACTCACAGAGATAGAAAGTAGAATGGCAGTTGCCAGGGGCTAGAGAAAGGGAACAGTAGCAAGTTATATGGTATAATAGGTATATAGTTTCAGTTTTGCAAGATGGAAAACCTGGAGATGGATGTTGACAATGACCATACAGCACTACCAATGTACTTAATGCCATAGAACTGTTAAAATGGTCAATTTTATGTTATGTATATTTTATACACTTAAAAAATAAATAATGATTTTTTAAATTGTGAAATGAGAAAAGTTTGGATTGGCTGCTCTTAAAAATGAGAAAGAAATATGGTTAGGGATACATAACTGTTAGGGAAGGTGTTGGTTTGAGGATGTGAATTTGTAACACAGCTTTCTTTCACAGATTATGGTTTGTCCCAGGTTATGGTGGGAAGGTAAGAAGCTGAGAATTCTGTTGAAAGTGCATTGGTATGGTTAAATTAAAAATATAGTCACATGAATAAAAATGAAAAATTAGAAATACATAAGTTAATACACTAGAAGAAAAGGTAGGAGGCAAAGATTGGCATTCTTAATGAGGTTGAAGAGCAGGTGTAGAGTGAAAAGTAGTGGAACGAGAACACTGAAGCTACATGCAGCCATAATGTTCAAAAATGGCATTTCAGAGGTGGAACAGTTCCAGATGGTGAAGTTTTCCCTTTTCCTGCTTTCCACCCCTGCCCAGGAATGACACGGGGTATTTCATAAGCATGTGTAGATGATCAGAATTAAGGAAACCAAAAGACTGTTGTTTCATCCAATAGAGGTTGAAATTTTCCAGGATGGACATGAAGGATTAAAGCAAAGAAAAATTCAAATATCCATGTGTTCAATCATTCCAGAAAAATGACGTAAATATAAGTAGATAAAAACCATAAGGAGTTACCAGATAGTTTAATCAAATTACACAGTTCTGAAAATTGGAGGGATGTTTACACAAGAATGGAACAGCAATAGTCCAGTGCTGGTGGCAAACAAATAAAAATACCTTCCTTTGATACCTTCCTTTTTCTCAGTATCTGCCTAAAAATGGGAAAGTTTTGGAACATAATCAAAGAATTCCTCAGCATACGGACAATTACATAAGCAACAATACCTTTAATATCTCCTTTAAGTAATAATTGAATTGAAATTTTTCGTACTTGTTTTCCATTTTATATTTTATATTCAAAGATATATATTGATATCTTTGATTTAAATAAATGATTATAGAACACAAAAATATTCAAGACTACAATCATTTAATATTGAAATACTTGGGGTTTTTTTCCTTCTTCCTTCTCTCCCTATCTTTACTACAGAAAAGAAAAACAAGCAGTATTCATCTTTAATAATAGCAATTTTATAAATTCTTTTTCTTTCCAGGGTGATTCTGGTGGACCTCTGGTTAGTGCAGATCAGAAAGGCACTTGGTTCCTTGCTGGTATTGTAAGCTGGGGAGATGAATGTGCTCTTCCAAACAAGCCCGGTGTCTACACTCGAGTGACATACTATCGAGACTGGATCATGTCCAAAACTGGCCTCTAATGCAGAAGTTTTTTGCAGATTAAAGCTTGAAGATTACATGCTTTTAAATATGTTTGTAATTTCAAACTACACTTAACTAAGAATCACTTTGTGAACACTTATTGTTGCATATTTAAACATACTCAATTTTAGACCTATGAAAGCTTCTCGTGCATTAGATTTTGATAAAGGTTTAGTGAAAGCAATGGTACATACCATTTTCTCCTTTACCCCTTTCCAGACCAAAGACAATTATATGAATAAATATAGATTACAGTTTGCTAAGAAGGTCTTAATTGCTAATTTGCAGATCAAGTTCCCTTGAGAAATCATAAAATAAGTGTTCACAATAAACTTCTTTCTGGGTATATAATCTGACAGGCACATGGATTCCATACCACCAACATATTGGCAGGTTGTAGCCTAGTGAATTAAAGTAATACTGCCTATAAAAATTTCCCAGGATCCCTGGCTGGTACGGCTCAGTGGGTTCAGTGCTGGCTTGTGAACCAAAGTGTTGCTGGTTTGATTCTCGGTCTAGGGAACATGCCTGGGTTGTGGGCCAGGTCCCCAGTTGGGGGTGCTCAAGAGGCAATCACACACTGATGTTTCTCTTCCTCTCTTTCTCCTTCCCATCCCCTCTCTCTACAAATAAATAGATAATCTTTAAAAAAAAAATCCCAAGAAAATCTGTCTACCTGTTTTCTTTCTAGTCTTTGTGCCCCTGCTAACCCCTTTTCTAGCTATGGTTTCTTCACCCTGAGTGATGCAAAACAGCGTGGTAATCCCATGGAGTGCATTGAACAGATCTTGATGCTTGTCAGTTTGTCCTTATTTTTCTTTCATATGAAAGCAAGGCCAGAAGATGGCTCTCACATATGCACACAAAATAATAAAATTATTCTCAGACACTATGTAATCTTGAATAAACTATGCAAATAATGCCAGATTCCATATCTCCAAATTCTTAAAATTTATAAATAATACAAATTATCAACCAGAATAAATAATATGGAAGTTGTGCTTCTACTTTCCTTTTGCCCACCCAGAATCATCCTAGCTCTCTTCTGAATTAATACCATGTTTTTCAAAATTATACTACTTCATAACAAATATTTTAATGTTTATTGCCTTAATTATAGATTTTGCATAAAGCAATGTTATATTATGCATATTCTGGTATCTTGGGGGAAAAGTATGGTGGAGTAATGATTTAAGCCACCAGTTCTCTTCTTTACCTAATTTCTTTGTGTATAGAAATTATATAAAATTCTTAAGGAAAAAAGTACAAGTACTTAGGTTTTATTTTTGAAAACAATTTGACACAAAGACAAGTATGTTAGACACTCGCATTTATGAAGTATGCCACTTCCAAATAGGGCTGGTTTAAGAGAACCAACCTGCACAATGATATATTGTATAATGATAGACTGCCTTCTCCTCTCTATAGAGAGACAAAAGAGTAGTTAAAGTCAGTTGTAATGGTGCCTCCTCCTCCCTGGGCAACAGTGTCATAAATACTGGATCTCTTCAGATTCAGGAATTTCTGCTATAAATAGTAACTGGGAAGATCTCATAATGAGCAGGGCATCCTTTGTTGAGTTATAGCTGTTCAAATTGTTGAAACTTCACGGGAAGAGACCAAGGGGATCTCTCATGCTACCATTCCTCTCTGAATAGCTTTTAAATTTGTCTCTTGTTTCCATAGCAATTTTATGTGAACACTTCCTTGTAATTAATAGTCCACATTTTCTTCCTCAAATTCTTCCAATTAAACCTTAAAATGCTCCCCTTTTCCTCAAATCATAATTATAACAAACACTATGATTTTTTTTAAATCCTCACTCAAGGATATGTTTATTGATTTTAGAGAGAGAGGAAGGGAGAGAGAAAAACATCGATGTGAGAGAAAACCATCTATCTGTTGCCTCCCGTATGTGCCCCTGCAACCTAGGTTTGAACCCTGACCAGGAATTGAACCCACAACCTTTTGGTGAATAGGATGACACTTCAACCAACTGAGCCATTCAGCCAGAGCCAGACACTATTGTTCTTAATTAAACAAAGTAATTCATGTTTTGAAAATGAGAGCTACTGGGCTCTCTTGATACTGTGCTATCTTTTCTTCCTTTTAGAAACAAAATTTTCTCCCAAATTCTTTTCATCCATGTACTTCTCCTTTGGAAGACCTGTATTCTTCTATTCTTTCAGTCTTATTAGTAAAGAGGTGTAAAAAAAAAAAAAAAAAAAAAAAACTATTTCTTCCTCCTCTGGATCACTTCCAAACCACCATTTCTCTTGCAATTCAGAAAGAGCTGACCAGGTAGGTACATAAAGAGGATGGCGATGATAGTACAAAAAGAAGCAAAGATATCATGCTTGAGCATCAACTCAGGTCATGAGAGAGAGGCTCATCCCTAGAGCTGCCTGGGTTCCTGTGGGCTTTCTATGCCTTGTGTATCATAAAAGAGACCTCTGTTACCTAAGAGTCTCCTTTTCTTGCTACCAAAAAAACCTAGATACCATGACCTTTCATTCACTAAGGACCCAGACATCTGGCTCAGTCTTTCTCTTTACCCCACTCCTACAAGAAAGGTAAGGTAGCATAGAAGGTAAGGACAGCAGCTCTGGAGGCAGATGCATGTGATGCAATTCCCAACTCATGTGTAACTGGTGCCCTGTTTTTCACTTTATTCAACCATAAAATAAAGATAACAATAGTACTGACCTCTAGGGTTGTTGTAAGGATTGAATATGTTTATATATGTAACATGCTTAGAAAAATGCCCAAAACATAGTTATTACCCAATAAGTGTTAAATATTGCTAATAGTATCATTGCCAGAATCAGTGAGCACCTTCAAAATCCACATGCTTGACCCATCCAATAGTCTAAATCCAAGGTTCTTTGAGTTCCTTAGATGCACCAAACTTCACTCACCCTATACTCCTAACCACTTCCCTAGGCACGCCCTGTATTTTCTTGTTAGAACAGCTTCACATCCAGAATATTAAATTCAAATTTCTATCTATGTTGTCCTAGGTTTATAATCTCTTCCTCCATTATAGTTTCTTTTCATTCCATCAGGATCCTCCTTTCCCAACACCCCTCTTCTACTTGAGTTTACCACCACCTCCAACACTTTCATATATCCACTTCCTTTCTTGTCAACCCTAAACTCCTTAATAGTCTTACTGAATCATCAGCTTCCCTAACAGTTCTGCTCCCTTGTCTTTCTACAATATTTGCTCTGGTCCCTTGAGCTGATTCCATCTCAAAATCTCTACACATCCTCAAGATTTATATATCTATTTGTAAAATCATTTTTTCTGTGTTATATGTCCATCTCCTCAAATTTCATATATTCTTCCAATGGCTATTCTCATCAAAGCACTAAAGCTAAGGCAAGTTCTCTTATCGACAGCCTAAGAATCTCACTGTAAGAAGAAACGACCTCTCCTCTTCCTCTCTGCCATTCACTTGGCAGCCACAAAGCAGCAACCATGCGTAAATGCATCTCCATTCACATTGACCAGGCTGGTGTCCAGACCGGCAATGCCTGCTTGGACCTCTACAGTCTATAACATGGTACCTGGCTGGATGGCCAGATGCCAAGAGACAAAACCACTGAGTAGGGAGATGACTTCTTCAATGACCTCTTCACTGAGACAGGCACTAGCAATCATGTGCCTAAGGCAGTATTTGTAGACCTGGAACTCACAGTCATTAATGAAGTTCAAGCTGGTACCCACCACCAGCTCATCTACCCTGAGCAGCTGATTATAGGCAAGGAATATGTTGCCAATAACTATGCCCATGGGCAATACACCATTGGCAAGGAGATCATTGACCTCATCCTGGACTTAAATCAGAAAATGGCTGACCAGTGCATAGGCCTTCAGGACATTTTGGTTTTCCACAGCTTTGGTGGGGGAACTGGTTCTGTGTTCACCTCCCTGTTCATTTAATGTCTCTGTCAGTTATGGCAAGAAGTCCAAGCTGGCATTCTCCATTAACCCAGCCCCTCCAGGTTTCCACAGCTGTAGTTGAGCTCCACAACTCCATCCTCACCACCCATACCACCTTGGAGCACTTTGATTGTGCCTTCATGATTGACAATGACGTAATCTATGACATCTGTCATAGAAACCTTGATATTGAGCTCCCAGCCTACACTAATCTGAACAGGTTAACAGGTCAAATTGTGTCCGCATCACTGCTTCCTTCATGTTTGATGGAGCCCTGAATGTTGGTCTGACCAATTCCCAGATCAACCTGGTGCCCTATACCCACATACACTTCCCTCAGGGCCATATTCCCACATGTGCCCCTGCCGTCTCTGCTGAGAAAGCCTACCGTGAACACTTTCTGCAGCAGAGATCACCAATGCATGCTTTGAGCCAGCCGGCCAGATGGTGAAATGTGACCCTCACCATGATAAATACAAGGTCTGTCTGTAAAATGTCCAGCCATTATTAATGTAACAGGAACATTTTACATGACATCAATGTAACCTGGCAGTCAAGAAGAGTGGACTAGAATGCACATGCGTGAACAATGATGGTTTCACTGTACTAGTCAGTGGTAGTGGTAGACACCATGGAGTGAACATGTGCACTGTGTACCATCGCATTAAAATGACTGAATAGAGCAATGAATCTGAATCAAATTTTGCATTAAGCTTGAACATTTCTCCATGAAAACTGTTCAGGTGATTCAGAAGGCCACAGTTCTGGGCAGCTAGTGATTGGCAGCTTCATCATCACAATGCACCCACTCATATATCATGTCTCCTGCAGAGTTTTTAGAAAAACATCAAATCACCCAAGTGACTCAGCCTCCCTACGGCCCAGATTTGGCGCCCTGTGTCTTATGGCTTTCCCCAAAACTAAAATCACCTTTGAAAGAGAAGAGATTTCAGACCATCAATGAGCTCAGGAAAGTCTGATGGGTCAGCTAATGGTGACTGGAAGAATAATTTGAGATCCCAAGATGCCTACTTTGAAGGGAACTGAGACATCATTGTCCTATGTACAAAGTTTCTTGTATCTTCTTCAGTAAATGTCTCTATTTTTCATAGTACATTGCTGTATACTTTCTGGACAGACATATATATCAGGTATTTAGTAACTATTAAATGAGCCAATATAAAACAGACAACAGTGTCGTGATTGCAGGGGGTTGGAATATAAGGGGATTAAATGGTAATGAAAAATAGAATAAAAAATAAAATAAAATAACAGAAAAAATACAAATAAGTGAACCAACCAAATTTAAGTCAAAAGAGCCACCTCTACTCTTAATATTCTTCTAGCTTTGGCTGCCAAAGAAGCAAACTAGTTGACATATGACAAATCAAGCTGGTGATTTAATAAATTTCAATATAAGTCATACCAGTATTGGTAAATAGCATCATCAAACCCATAAAAATTAAACTAGCAATACAGAGAAAGTTTCTAAATGGCCCCAAAGTAAAATGATCAGATAACATACAAAGGAATATAAGCAAATATTCATATTATATAGAAACACAGTAATATGGTTATAGCATCGATCCATAGTTACTATATCTAGTTACTATATGCAATAATGTACAATAATGGCAGGTATAATATTTTAAGTGGAACCTAATCAACAAAACAAACAAATCAGCAAAATAGAATTAGAGACATGGAAATAACGAGCAAACTGACAGTGGAGGGGGGGGATAACTGGGCACAGAAGGGGGAGGGGCAAGTCAAGGAACATGAATAGAGGACTCCTGGGCAGGGACAATGGCTGGGGGTTGGTGGGGGGGGGGCCGCGGAGGGGGGGGGGATTGACTGTGGGAGAGCCAGGGGAGGGAGCCGGGACAAGGGAGAGCAACAGGGAAAGAGGCAGAACAACTACAACTGAACAACAATAAAAAAGCAAAGCAATAATTTTTTTAAATAATCATTTTTATTTTAACTTGAGTGTGGATAATCTGGCCATTAGCATTGATAAATGTGAATGCAGCCCAATTTGTACTAGATCAAATTGATTCTGTTAAGGTATTAATTTGGTGTTTTGTTAGGATGCTTTTAAATTAACATATTTGTCTAGTGTTTGAATGCACAGCTGTGTCTGATTTAAAGAGAAAACAAATATTTTTGAGAAATGTATTAATTTTTAAAACAATTTAACTACCTCAAGTTTTTTATCTTTCTCTTCATTTTCATTTTGCATCTGTTGGATGAAACACAAACACTTTTTAAAGAATCTCTTCATTAAGGTTATTTGAGTAATATCCTGAGTGAATTTTAAATTCAAAATTAAGCTTCAAGTGTCCTTCTTCACTCAGGAAAAATGTTGTGAAAACCAGGCCATCTGCTGAGGTACTACAATTACATTTGTCCCTCAAAACGTATTTGGCATGCTGTTTTAGTACTCTGTTGGATTATAAGCCCGCAAAACAAGTTCACCTTGATCTTTCACATTAAATATAAAGTATCTTCAGGACAAAATGTGACATAAATCTAAACTGGTGACAGAAATAAAATGGGTTCAATTATAATAAAACACCAGAAGTGCCAGAAACACAAATCTTGAAGCTCTATCAGTTGGGAAATATGGCAAACAGTGTCTCTCCTGAACAGAATCAAAATCACTGTTCATCCATCAACAGCAGCAACCCACTGATGCAGGACAACCTCCCCACCCTGACTTTATCTGGAAAGATCCGCGTGACAGTAACTTTCTTCTTATTTCTACTCTCCACGACTTTCAATGCTTCCTTTTTGTTGAAACTTAAGAAGTGGGCTCAGAAGAAAGAGAAAGGGAAAAAGCTCTCGAGAATGAAAGTGCTTTTAAAACATCTGACGTTAGCCAACCTGTTGGAGACTTTGATTGTCATGCCACTGGACGGAATGTGGAACATTACAGTACAGTGGTATGGGGGAGAGCTCCTCTGCAAAGTGCTCAGCTATCTGAAGCTTTTCTCCATGTATGCCCCAGCCTTCATGATGGTGGTGATCAGCCTGGACCGCTCCTTGGCCATCACAAGACCCCTAGCTGTGAGCAATAGCAAGCTGGGACAGTCTTTGATTGGCTTGGCGTGGCTCCTCAGTAGTCTCTTTGCTGGACCACAGGTAAACCATTATCATGAACTTGTCGATCTATGGCAATCACAGATTTCCTATCTAAACTTGAGAGTTGTATTGTTGTGTGTGAAAGGCAGTGCTGTATTATTCTTATGCTTGGGCTCTGGAAGTCAGAGAGTAGACTTTAATCCTGGCACTGTTGCTTCAGCAAATTTCTTAACCTCTCTGGATTTTAGTTCCTTTATTAATGGAAGAGAGGTAATGCTTACTTTATGCAGCTTTCGTAATGACTAATGTATTAAAGTGTCTAGAAAGGTCTCTAATATAAGTAAATATTCCCCCCAATTTCAGCCATTCTCAAACAATCTTATTCCCATCTTCGTCTTCCATCTATTTCTCTTTTTGTTCTGGTTGACATGGTAAATTGACAGAATATTTAGGAACTATGGAATTTGCACAGACAAGAAGTATTTATAACATCTTATTTGAGTCTTCTTGAGTGGAAACATTAAGAATTCTTTTACTGTAGTTCAGAAAGAACCATTCTCAGTTGGTATGTTCTTAAGTTTGCAGGTAAGTGGGATTGAATAAAGAGGAAAAGTGGGAAATCTTGGACTTTTGGAAATTTGAGTATTTCCTTGAGGTTGACTTGAGCTTTTCTGGAAGTGAGACTATAACAAGCTGTTAGTAAAACTCTAATGCTGTTGGTGTAGGCACAAGCTGTCTCCTACAGGAAGCAGATAGGTATCTCTCCAGATTGTTTTCAACAGAGACTTTCTGGCTTATTGACATATGGAATCTGACTGTATCAGCAGTCACACTGCCAAAGAAAAGGACACACTTTTGCAAACAGAAAGACCCTTTAATAACACATGAACAATTCTCTGTATGCTTCTAAATGCACAAGTATGTGTAAAAAAGTCAGAGTTGACCAAGATCCTCCAAAAACTTGCCACTACAGATAGAAATTTATCTAGACATTCTAAACAGACAAGATGGTAAAATGGATGAAGCAAGGAAGGAAGGAAGGAAGGAAGAAATAAGATTTTTAAATGCCATGCAGGACTTATTAAATAAGTAATATGACACTGGAAAGCTAAATAACTAAATTTTCCTCACTTAACTAATTTTTTTTGGATATTAGATAAATTTAATTAGTGTGTTTTATGACAGGAGAAATGGAAAAAACAAAAATGTTTTGATTTCCCTGGAGAAAATTGTACAATTATTCTCACAGTGACTGAATATACAAAATAAGGATTAGCAAATATGTCAGTTGAAATGAAGTTATTTAGCTATGGCTTATGTCATGAAGTCTTTCATTTTGTTTCATTAAAGTATGAGTGCTGCATATTGATGGTTTTCTTGGAGAAAATAAACACGAAATAGGTTCCTGAAGCTGAGTCTTGTACTGATGAAATGAAGAAACTGCCCTCAAAGAAAATGTAATTCAGTTATGAAGACAAAACTTATAAAAAACTAATATAACTATATACTAAATTGTTTTAAACCTATTACAAAAGTAAGAAAAGGGAGAAATGAGTAGGAGTGAAGGAAGATTTTAGGGTAAAAGAATAAACTGAGTTTTTAAAGAAGAATGGTATTTGGATAAAAAATATAAGTCAAGGATCACATATTTTTCAGCAAAGGTTGAAAGTGTGATTTTCATAGGTGATATATTTGGGTGAAATGAAAAACTGAGAGTTAGGAGGACTAGCAAGAAATTAGATTTGGTCCCTTTTCTTTGATCTCATAGTGTTTTGTCATAAAGTAATGTGATTATAGTTTTTTGTCTATATTTACCTTTAAGGTATATTCTCCTAAATAGCAAAAGCTGTTGTGTTCAACTTTATTTCATATTCCCACTACCTAATAAGATATCTACCAAAAATAGAATTTTAAAATATTTGGATCAGAGGGGGTATTTTTTAAGATCAAATAAATCTTTTACCTTTTACTTAAAAAAAAAAGTTTAGATAAATTAATCAATGAATGGAGGTGCAGTGGATTTATATTACCAAAAACATTGATAGCTAAGGGAAATTCTGAAATTAATGTGGGAACCATATAGCTTTTCTGAGTCTTATACAAAGAGTAAGAGGATTTTTTTCCAGTTCTATTGAGAAAGAATTGATACACATTACTTGATGAGTTTAAGATGTACAACATGATGGTTTGACTTATAAATATTGTAATATGATATTGGAAATATGAAGTTTTTATTTCCTTTTCTTGCTTATAAAATTGTTTAGCTCTGGCTGGTGTGCCTCGGTTAGTTGGGCATTGTCCTGCAAACCAAAGGGCCACAAGGTACAGGAGGCAACCATTCAGTGTTTCTCTCTCACATCAATGATTCTCTCCCTCTCCTTTCCTTTTCCTCTAATAAAAAACTATATTTTTATGATACAAAATTTGCATATAGATACTAAAATGTTTTACTTTTCTTTAATCCTATTATTTTAATCTTATTTGTAAGATTATTTCTTAATCTTATTATTTTATTTAATCTTATTTGAAAGGGAAAGAAAAGCAGGCTTTGAAAACAGCTAAAAATACTTGCCTTAGAACATGATATGGCAATATAAGGTCTTTATTTAAGTACAGTTATTTGCAAAGTAGTTGGTAACTTGGAATACTGATATAGATGAAAGTTAAAACAGAAGTAGTGCCCTTCTTCTTTCATAAAAAGCCATATAAAATGATTTTCCCTTTCCTTAAGTGGGAGCTTCTTCATTTTAATGTCTGTATAAATTCAAATGCAAAAGTCTGTCATGTGATAGTCACACTCTCCTTTATGAACACAGTCAACACACCCTCACAGGGGATCCAGTTATGCACAAGCAGCTTCTGTTCGTCTGCCCTCTGCCTGTGTCCAGCCAGTTACCGAGGACAGGAGGACCTCACTTTGCACATTGCTGTGGTAACAGACCCATGCAAAGCATGGACACATTTCTAGTCTGCACAAGTTTCAGGTGACAAAGTACTGTGCTAAGTGAAGCCCACCTGTATTTAATGTGTCACTTTCTTCCTTTTCCTCAATTATAAAACAAACGTTACAATAACAGTCTTCTCCCAGGTGTCTTCTTATGCCTTCAACATATTCTTTACATTGAAATACCTGAATGAAAGTGTACAAACACTCAGAACTCCTTAAAACATAATGTTAAATTGATTTCCAGGAAAACTATATACTATTTTTCCTGATACTCAGGGTAGAAAGCGCCAGTCTTTTTGAACTCTGTTACCGAACAAATGGACCCGTGGGGGACGGTGCCCAGATGCTATTACCGAAACAATGACCTCCCCTTCCCTGGGGTCCCTCGGTTGTAGGTCCTTTGCCCGCCGCCCTTGGAGTTATGGCTCTGAATGGCAGTTTGGTGAAAAGGAAAGGAATTATTTATTCAAAAGTTATACAGGTTTGATTAATGGCTAAATGTCGCCCTTAAACCTCAAAATCCCTTTAAAACAATCACCAGCACACACACTGTCCTGCCACCCCCCCTTTGCCCAGTCAGGCCAGTCAGGGGTACCGTCCTTCAGAAGGAAAAGAAGAGAAGTCCGGGGCTGGTCTAGGCAGGCGTCTCACAATTCTCAGCGCCATCCGCTGCATCACCGAGATCTCCAGCTCTTAATCCATAACCATGTGGCACCTTCTTGTGGCCCACTAGCAAGAGTCCTTTCTCCCCTCTTTCTTCCCACGTGGTCTTCACACTGTTCCCCAGAGTCTGTGTCCCTTTGTCTCTCCCACAGGCCCCTGTCTCTCCTTCCTCTCCCAGTTACATTCTGTATTAAGACTTAAATCTTCCTGATTAGCTTTGGTGATATGCAAAATAACCCTTTTTTCATACCAGGAATGAAGCTATCCTGTTATTGACATGCAAAATGACTCTCAATGGCCCTGCTCAAGGCTCCCTCGCCCCATGGCGGCCCGCCCTGGGGTGAAGAATATATTTTTTCTTGGACACCCCATTTTCTGGACCCTGTTACAAATATCCTTTGGCGGGGCGCGGGGGTGCGGGGCGGGGGGTGCCCTGGATGTGCCCCGTTACCTCTCTTGAATATAAATACACAAAAGAGTATCTTTTTCCCATTTTTCATTACTAGTATTTTAACTAATTTTAACATTTTTGTATTTTTATCAATATTCTAAACATAGCCTTTGATATTTATTTATATGATACTGTTCTAGTACTTTGAGTGATTTAACTTATCATAGCTTAATAAACGTACCACTATACCTTAAAAAAAGACATATGTTGTGAAATGATTACCACAATAGGTGCAGCTAATCTGTCATCTCATATAAATACAGTAAGAAAAAAGAAAAAACAAATTATCTTTGAGATGAGAACTCTTAGGATTTACTCTCTTAACAACTTTTCCTATATGTCATACAGCAGTGTAAACTATAGTCAGCATGTTATCCATTACTAAAATGATTTTTAACAAAAATATTTTAAGAAAATTTATGGAGAGAGGAGAGAGACAAAGAATTCAGATCATCTGTCGAGGTGATTAGGTTGGGGATGAAGGTGGTATCAGAGGGAATTGATAGTAATTACTAGGGACATTTCAAACAAAAAGCAAAGTTGGCAACAAATGGGCTTTAGTAATGGGTTAATAATAGAGGGTAGTAAAATAAAGCTCCAACATTTTTAGCCTAGAAGTTTTTAGTAAAACCATTGAAACAGACAGGTAGGTTGAGGTACGTTACTCTCTTCATCTGCCTGTTTATTTGAAAAGAGGGGAAAGCAGGCTTTAAAAAGAGCTAAAAACATTTGTGTTAGTCATAATATTGGCAATATTTGTATAAGTACAGCTATTTGGAAAGTAGTTGGTAGTTTGGGATACCGATAGAGGTGAAAGTTGAAACAGAAGTAGAAATAAGTCCATTTATGATGGTAACTGCAACACAAACCCATAATTTCACTGTCTTTTAAAAGGACTCTCCCAGAGGCTGTAAATAAAAGATTGATTTATTAACTCAATTATTTTCATCTGAGTATAGCACAGCAATAATAGGAAGAAAAGAAAATGCCAAATACTTA